AAAGGGAAAGTGTGGCTACAAGAGTCTCACACCACACCCAGCCAGCCAGCCCGGTGTGGTTGTATAGGGATGGGTATTGGCTGGGGTTGTGGAGCTGGAGATGATGCTGGCAGCAGGGTGAGGAAGGGGTGAGGCAGCCCTGCTGCTCCTGTGCAGGTGAGTGGAACTGCCCTTCCTCCCAGATCCCCTCCCCTCCCCTCCCTCACAGACCCCTCTGGCTCTGCTGTCTGACCCCGTTTTGGGCTGTCTGACCCAATTTTGTGCTGCCCTGAGCTTCTTCCCTCCCTGTGCGTCCCATTCCTCTGGCACCAAGAGCAGGGCGCAGCCTCCCCATTAATCAACACCCAGAAAACACAAAAGAAGATTCAATGCAAAAGTATTTTTATTGGATACAAAAACATTCCAGTTTAGTGAAAAAAATGGCATCATTGCTGATGAAGCTTGTCTGGGCTTCAACCCGAGACTTGCTCCTGTCTGCTCCGGTCCTGCCGTGGCCATCGGGTCCCATCCTCTCACACCTGGGCTTTGGTGGCTCCGTTCTCAGAAGCTGGTCCGGTCAGTGGGGCAGCAGGGCTGACCTGGATGGGCACACTCCTCTCAGGAGCGGCTGGCAGTGCCAGCTTGGGGGCCTCGATGAGGAGCTGCCCATCCTTGGACAGGGAGCAGGTCAGCGCTTCGGCGTCCACCTCCTCGGGCACGTCCCACTCCCGCTTCAGCACCTCGTACTTGTAGGAGAAGGAGCCCCTCTCATCCACGCTCTGCGTCTCCTTCTGCCCCACCAGCACCACCTTCCTGCCCACCACCTTCACCGACAGCTGCTCGGGGGCAAAGTCCTTCACGTCCTGGCACACCGAGAAGCCGTCCCCGGAGCTGTGGCTCAGGCTCATGCTGCTGCTCGGGCTGTGCTCCATGGCCATGGCTCCGTGGTTGCTCAGGAGCTGCTCGAAGCTGCTCATGAACTCGCGAGCTTTCTCCATCTCCTGCTGCAGCTCGGTGAAGATGGTCTCTGCGTGTGGCCACAGGGTTCTCACTGTGCCCAGCCGGCTGGCCAGGGAGCTGGAGGCGAAGGGTGCGAGGTGCATCCGGCAAAGCATCTCTGCGGCTGCTGTGGCTGCTGCTTCTGCTGCTGCTTCTGCTGCTGCTGCTGTTGCCTTTCCAGTGCTCTGGAAGCGTTCTGCCCCGCTGCTGCCGCCGCAGGTTTTTATACCCGATTCCCCGGAGGCGTGGCATTGTCCCGCACATTACGTCAGCCCCGGGAGAAAAGCTCAGCTCTTTCCAGCCCGTTCCAGCTCATTCTTGTTACTCACCCGTGAGGAGAGGCAGGGCTGACGTCGTGCCCGGCATACCTTCGCCCTGACTCTCACAGCTTTGCTCTCCTGGCTTATAATTAGCAGCATCACCTCAGCCTCCGAGCGGGATGCCTGAGCCACCCTTGCCAAAAATCTGTGCCCTTTGCATTTCCCAGGCACGGAGTGAGTCTGGGCTCGTCTCCTCCGTGCCTCCCCCCGCCCTGCCCTGTGTTCCATTTCCCCCCATCTGTGCCCAGGTGGGGCCCCTCAGGTGAGACCAGAAGTCAGCCCATGTCCCCATGCCCAGGTGGGGTGCTGAGGGGTCTGTCTGTGTCCCCATGCCCAGGTGGGGTGGCTGAGGGGCCAGCCTGTGTCCCCAGGTGTGCAGTGGGGTGTTTAGGGGTCAGCCCGTGTCCCCATGCTCAGGTGGGGTGCAGTGGGGTGCTGAGGGGTCTGTCTGTGTCCCCATGTCCACGTGGGGTGCTGAGGGGTCTCTCTGTGTCCCCATGCCCAGGTGGGATGTTCAGGGGTCAGCCCTATGCCTAGGTGGGGTGCTGAGGGTCAGCCCGTGTCCCCATGCCCAGGTGGGGTGCACAGTGAGGTGTTTAGGGGTCAGCCCTATGCCTAAGTGGGGTGCTGAGGGGTCAGTCCTTGTCCCCATGCCCAGGTGGGGTGCTTAGGGGTCAGGTTGGGGGTGCCCAACAGGTAGAGGGGTCCCAGAAAGTGAAAGGAAGTGCCTGGCAGCAGATGCCCTGGGCCATGTACAGGGGTGGGATCAGTTCCTGTACTGTAGGAGTGATGAGCTCCTGGCACAGTGGAGCCTTCCTCCACCGAGCCCCCCGCAGGGAAGGGCTCTGTAGCCCCCCGGCCATGGCCCCACGGGCCCCGCTGCATCACGATGGCTCGGCAGAAACCCGAGCTCACGGCGGTGACTGCGGCTCCCTATTTGTGGCGTGTGACCTGTGCCCAGAAACAGGCGCTGCTATTTTGGCTGGTGGATAATCAGCCTCTCAAAAATAGGCGATGGCTCCAGGAGGCTGCGTGGGGGGAGAGAGCATTCTGGAAGGGACACACCCCTGGGAAGGGGAGAATAAAACCCGCTGCTCCCCTTCCCCAGCCCAGCACTGCACGGAGCAGCAGCAGCAGCACAGCCTGGAGCACTCCTCGCTCGCAGCAGAGATGCTTTGCCGCCTGCACTTTATGCCGCCCATGTCCAGCTCGCTGTTCCCGTGGCTGGGACCCGTCCGCACCCTGTGGCCACATCCAGGCACCCTTTTCGCCGAGCTGGAGCGGGAGATGCGGCT